CTCACCCCCGTTCCCCCAAAACCTTCCCTTCTTCTCCCCCTTTCCCTAAAACCCTCCCATTCGTGTCCCCTAGAGCCTTCCCTCTCCCCTAAAACCTTTTTTCCCCTGTCTCCCTCAGAACCTTCCTTCTCTTCCCCGACAAACCTGCCTTCTCTCCCCTCCCACTCCCCAGTAAATAAAACCAGATTTTTAAAAGTCCTTTTTTTCCCAATACACGCCACATAAGCACGCACTAGCACCCAGAAACTGGGGATTTGAACATCCTTTTATTTACAAACTCAAACGTCTTCGACCAGGGGCAGCGTTGTTGGGTTCTGGGTGGCGAGGCACCCACGCTACACATGGCTCACGTCGTACACTAGTGAAACGCTATTGTTATTCCTTTTCTTCCATTATTATTATTTATATTTCAACATTAAAAAACCTGTTCTTATCTCAGTCCCACGAGGCTCTACCTACCGCTCCTTTGGGGTTCTCCTCATTCCCAGTGGGGGAGAAGCCAGTAACCGCGTGGTTCCTTCGTCTTTCCCTGCCCAACGCGGGGCAAAGGGGTTGAGATAACAGCAGATTTGACAAAAGCGTGTTAAAAAGATCCATTTTTTGTTAGACTAACTCCCCACATTAGACAAGTAGCTGGTGGGCATAATGTTGGTTCACTTGTTTACGGGGTGCCATTTGCCGAATCCTTATGTATCTGATGTATTTCCTGTGGTGGTATTTATCAGCTCTGGGAAAGGGGTCAAAAACATCCTATTTTTGGACTGGGAAATGTCGATTTATGATGTGATTGCATCACTGGCCATGGGGTTCAGCCGATATTTGTATGAGGCATTACTGTCATTCCTGTGCCTTCACAATTCATTCGTAACTGCATCCAATCCATGGGGAGAGCGGAGAGGTTTTTCTCCTGCATATCCTTCAAGATAATCTCAACATGTTTTCAAATATTCTTGGAATTCCCAATCCAGCACAGTCTCAGTCTTCTGTCTCCTGAACGTGTGGCAGATCTTGCTCAGGGTCACACCAAAATTCTTTAAGGATATCACCCAGGGACCTGTCCTGAAGCTGGATGGGTATGAGTGGCAAGGTGTGTGGGAAAATACGGGCAAGCTCCTAGGACAATGGTCATCTCCACTATTTTGGAATTTCACCCCTGAACACAGACAGAATCCTAAAAAGCTAGCGGAGTATCTGGAGAAAGTATGCTGTCAGCCTGGCCATTCCAACGAGGCGCACATCACCGCAGTGTGCCATTTTCACCACCACCCACTCCCCCCGAGGGGAAGAGGAGGTCTCTGCGCCTGGAGACAGACCAACAGATGATGGGACTGCTCCAACCCCAGCACCACTGGCTGTGGTGGTGATTCACAGCAATCCGGATAACGAGCAGTCATCCAGGTGATCTTGTGATGCACGCAAGGCACGTGGCGGAAGTCCCTGCCAAGCGCACCACAAACGTATGCAAGCTCACTGGCAGTGATGTCCTGGAGAGAAGGTGAGGGACAAACCACGGGGGAACTGGCTCGCCGACTCCGGCGATACGAAGGAAGTCTCTCTTCATCCCTACAGGTTTGTGTTTCAGCTGTGGAGGAACTGTCCCAGGAGTTCCAGCAACTCCTGCTCCCCGCCTGCACGGGCACATATCTCTGCTCTTAGGACTAGGTACTCCTCCGCTCAGGAGAGGCAATACGGAAGGCACACACATCGTATTTTGTCACAGAAGCCTTGAGTTGTCAGAAAACGGAGTTGTACGCCACGCGGGGACACCACGGAACTGACCGTGGTCAACTCGAGGGCACTTTGGCAAAAAAAAAGCCTTGTCACAGTCCTGAGATAAAGCGAAGACACCTTTTTCTCCTCACATGTCGCTGTCAAGTTTTACACTTAAATGTCCCATCACCCCAAGGGACCTACTAAAGGATTTCACGAGCCACTCATTGCACGGCTCGGGATTTTACACGGATTTCCTTCCTTCACCGTTAAAAACTGTTAGACAACAAGCCCGGTTAAACACCCAAGAGACAACGGCCCGAAGACTGGGCGACAAGAGCACAGAGTTTCGGAAAAGGAACCTCATGCGAGGTCGCGCGTGCTGCCGAGCGTTAGCAAGGGTTTCAGAAGAACAGCTGGGAACATCTACACATTTGAATGGGGTTATTTCTGGCACAAACATTTTCTTCGCTGACCTTTTCGTGGAGGCAAAGTTGCCTTCTGGAACGTGGCAAACGCAGCAGCTATCTACTCTCTTTCCTGTTCGTTTAAAAAGAAAACCCTCAAGAGGGCAGCATTAGACAGAAGAAAGCCCGGCTTCCCTTCAAATCCTCCCGACCAGGTTTTGCCCTTGTCACACACCAATAACCACTATTTCTCTCGGACAACACCCGGCCCCCAAACCAGAAAAATCCACAATTCAGGAGCCGTTCTGCATGCTAGAAATCCAGCAGCGATCCTCGGTTCGGACAGGAGCCACTTCCCACAGCAGTGTGTTGCCCTGACAAGAGAGTTCGAGGTCCTCCTCTCTCCTCCAGAACCCTCACAGCTACAGCCCCCCGAAACTGCAGGTGCGCTGTTCCCACTTTTTCGGCCACCTGCATCGAGAGGAGAAAAGGCTAACAAAACTGAACGACTTATTTAAAACGAGAACTTTCAACGGACAAGATGAGAAACAACCAAAACCACATTTGGAAGCCGTTGGAACGCAAAGTGGAAGTGCAAATAAAGTGGCAGAGTTCCAACTTATTATTTCCATCTTAAGGCTACAGGTCAACCAGAGGTCAACCACACAGTCAGGACTTTTCCTGCATTTCCTTCTCTCTCCGACTCCTGTCTCACGCTTGGAGAGCACTGAGGTATCACCAGCTACATGAAATACCTGGCGAAGAGGACTGTAAACACACTCAAGTGACTTGCAGCTGGGGTGTCAAAACCCAGATATATCTTTCTAATTGTCGTCTATCCTTGCGTGTTCGAACAGAATGTCTGTGTTTAGGTAACAAAGATCTGTGACCAATTCAAGAAGCACCTGACTGAACATCCTTGAGATTCCTGCCCTGCTGTGGCGAAGATGAAAGCACAGTGGCAACAGCTTTTTTGTAACGAGAATAAATTAGCCGTTTGCGTTTCACTTACCTTTCAAAGGCAGGTGTGATCTTCTCCGTAAGGTTAGTGATCAACTCGGGGGAAGCCGGCTTTTGAGGCATCGGGCAACAAGGACCCTGAGAGCTGTAAATTGGGAAAGAAAAAGAAGAGAGGGTCAATTTGCGAGTGTGGTATAAAAAGAACAATCAGAAACTGCCTTCTCGGGACACACAAAGTGCCAACGGGAAACTCAGGGCAAATTTGGCTTTTGGATCAAATCAGGCTTCAAAAATCCTTCTGCCAAATCTCGTTTCCCCCAGCGTAAGGCCTCAGGTCCCTTTACTTAAAGTTAAGAAACCCAAGGCAAGTTCTGCCTCTCGTAGGAGTCACGCTGGAAATTTGTGGGTCACGCTGATCAGAAAGTCCCCAACTAAAGAATTACGGAGCAGCACCAACTACTTCATTGCTTCGTTACCTGTCGTGAGGCCAGACTTCGCTTCTGGAGGTCGATAGCAGCAAGGGAAGGGACACGGGACACCGAAACGGTTTTATTTTCCATTTTGGGAAACCTGGCATGCCACGCTGCAAAATACAAGCGGCACACACAACGTAAAGCTGACTGTTGTAACGCACGCTGCTTCCTGCCGCTCATTTAGTGTCCAGGACATCAAAGCTCGTACCTTCCACTCCTCTCAGTTCAGGGAGGTGATTTAGTTCTGGCAAATGCACATCTGCCTTGGAAAAATCCCATTTTTTCTTATTTGCCTGAAGGATGTTTTTCTCATTAGTAACCTGCAATCAAGGGCATGAAAATACAGAAAAAAATAAAGGTATTTTCAAGCACGCTGCAGTGTTCTGCTGCAGTTGGAACGTGTGCACGAGTAACAGGACTCTTAACGCGTGAAAGAACGCATTCTGTTCAAGTGCCATTTATACGTTATAAACTACGGAACAGCCAGAACAAAAAACCCCAAAAAACATAATCTAAGTGCAGCTGCTTTTAGAGAGACGAAATAGAACACTTGGGGAATGGCTCGCATTAGTTAAATGAAAAAAAAAGGTAAATGTTCCCGCTGGCATGGGAAAAATATTGCCTGGGTAGTGAGTGTGGTGGAAAACTTCCCATTTCACTTGCTTTCATTATCAATTTTTCATGCATTTATGAAGTGATTTTAAAATAAGACCTAACCACCTTAAATCCAAACCCTTAATTCTATTTCAGGAGCACAATCCACATGGTCTGCTTCTCCTGGGGAGGCAGGAGGCCGTGGATGTGTTCTGAGTCTTACAGATATCCTGTGGTGGGCTGCTGCCCTCATTTCAAACCGTCCTCTGACACAAAATACGTTTCATATAACTATTTTGTACACCTACAACACCTGCTGGAAAATAAGGGGTAAAGAAAATAGTATTTCTAGCTGGGAGCTATGGTGAAGGCTGCAGCAGACGGGATTCTTGACAATAAAACACATACTTGAGTTCAGAATTTATCTTTGCTTTGCCAAAGACGAAAGCACACGACTTACGGATGTCAAGCTTATGCTGTGATATCCTGCGGGAGAACGCTTCTGTTGCTTTAGAAACGGGTTCAAGTACTTTTTAGTCTTCTCATCAGCTCTGTAATCAAAAATGCCCCAAACGTTATTATTAACGGGGGTGAGACGGTGAATGTAAAAAAAAACAAATGCAAGACATCCAGAAACGCTGTCGTTAAATGCTGAGAAAGAAGGCTCATGGGGAGAATATCCCGTGACTACGGGATAGGGGAATATGCCACAGCTGGCACGCCTGCACCTCTCTGGGGAGAGCACATTTACAACGGGGACGACGGCTACAAGCTCTTGGCGCTCTGCTCCCATACCTGTAATTACGGTTCCCAGGCACAGGAGTCATCCCAACCACAGTGGGATTAAAATTGTGGTTGATGGGAGGGATAACGATGCCTCTATTCTTGGCATAGCTCAAGTTGCTGTTGGAGTCTTTCAGGCTGGTTTGAGAGGTTATTTTAAACGGGTTGATGACCCCGTCGTAGAAGGAGCTCAGGGTGGAGCGTCGCTCTGCTTTCTCTGCATCAGCTTCAGAGCGCTTCGCCTTCAAGAGCTTTGCGTCTCTGCTCTTTGGGTCAATGCTGAAATCCTGTTTGGAAAGACAAAGCATCATCCTTCTCTTACAGTCGTGTTTAAAAAGGGCCTTAGAATGTGCAGAGAAGAGTCAAAAGCAAGGATCTGATGGAGGTGGAATTGGTTTTAGTAGAGAACTTCTGTTTTCCACCAAACAGAAGGAGACTTGTCAGGGTTCCAGCATCCTAAGTAAATAAGTCACTTGAGAATGAGATGGGAAACGCCAGAGGAAGAAGAGCTGTATCCTCCGTCACTTCCAAAGAAATGGAACGAGAACTGAGCATCAGCCTCTACTCCTTAGTACCCAACTGAAAGTACAGCCTGGAGACAGGGCTTAACACAGGTAAACAGCAGCATCCAAGCAACAGGCCTTAAACTGGTACAATGCGGGCACGGTCTTCAGCACCATTTAGACACACGGAGGCCTCCAACTGTGAGCTTTTCTGGCACATCATGCTTATCTAATCTTTTTTTTTTTTTAAATGAAATGTACAATTATGTTTATATTTGTGCTATGAAGTTAAACTGCTCCACATACTTAAGTAACAATTTTAAAACATGAAAAAAAAAAAAAGAAAGAAACAGGTTTGGAAAACAAAGACTGACCAACCTGGACATCAAGCATTTTTCTTTCTTCTAAAACATCATCTTTGTCCCTTTTGATGAGTTTTGAGTTTTGTGGCAGTTGATTGTCTCTGGCATCTTTCTGATTCTTTACTTTAAGCTCCTGAGTAAGTCTACATTCCATATAAGAAAAAAAAAGGCTTCTATTAATCTTAATACCACCATCAGCTAGAGCTCAGCCTAGACTCCTAAAGCCTTTGCAGTGATTCAAAAAGCACATGTTTTTTAAAAAGCCAGGCAAGCATGACACAAACATTAAAATAAATAAAATCTTAAAAGAAGATGCTTTTCACATGACAGCAATAAAGGTGTCTGTATCCCAGTCTGGGGCAGATGCAGAGAGAGAACACAGTGTAAGACTATCCCACCCCGCACGGGGTGACACGGGGTGCGCACGCTGATAAATCGGTGTCCTAACAAGGTAATGAGGCAAACGCTGCTGCAATGGGTTCCCTTTCAACAGCTCTGCTATTCCCAGGAAGGTTAAAACCAAACAAACCCAAGATAAGAAGAGGCTGTGAGCTCTGCACGCCCAGCACGGAAGGGCCGAGCGCGACCGCTCAGCTTCCTTCCAACGCGAGCTTGCTTTGCGCAAGAAAGGAACCGTTTACCTTTCGGCAAATCCATCCTTGGTAAAGAAACTGCTCTGCAAAAGCTCTGCACAGGACGGTCTCTTGTCTGGATCAATCTGCAAACATTTCTGTCCAATCAAAGACAAGACCAGAAGGCAAATATATTAGACGTGAAACAAAGGATTCAGCAGTTTGGAGCAAAGTCAGGAAAAGAGCTGCAAAACTCCTCCCTTCCAGGGCCTGTTATATTTAGTTGAGGAGAAAGGCAGTTTAACGGCCCCAGCCCTTTCTGCAGGCTGCACACAGCTCCCTGAGGCAAAGGACAAGTCAACAAAAAAATGTTCACGGCTCATGACTGGTTAATTACCTTGGTTAAATCTAGCGCTGTAGCAGAGAGCTCGGGATATCGTTTCTCCAGAGGTTCGGGCTCCTTCACTTCAGGCAACCACATGTCAGCAAAGAGGGGATTTCTATAGAATAACTCCTGGTGTCTCAGAATTAAATTACCTGAAAGCACACAAACGAAGCAACCATGTGGAAGAAATACAGAATAGTCCTCTGAAACACTGGAGAGGCCGAAACACGGGCTCAGCACGACTCTAAGGGTCACAGCCTGGGTTATTGTCTTTCCACCTGCACGCCAGGAATTGACACCGTAGCCACAAGCTACGGGTTTGTCCCCACAACACCCTGTCAAAACATATCTGACCCCTTTATTACTAAGCAGGCACTAGGAGCTGGAGAGCTTGTTCTTACCCAGGCACGCGATGATCTGGTAGAGCTGGTCAATGTCTGAATCTCCCTGGAAGAGGGGCTCTCCTGTGAGCATTTCTACTATCAGAGTGCCAATAGCCCACACGTCCACAGCCCTGGGAAGAAAAAAAAACAAAAAACAACTATATATAACACACCAGCTCAGCGTGGCTTCATTTTTCTGATTTGCACAGCAGGTCTTGAGCAGGTTACAAGCCTCAAGGGCAACTCTGGCCCCTGAACAGCAAGACAGCTCTTTTCCAAGCTTCCAAGTGCTCTGACAAACGACAAGGATTCAGCTCCCGAAGCAGGCAAATGCTAGCAGAAGCCTGACAGCTGGAAAATCAAGTTCCCAATGCTTTAAAAATACTAATACAACGTAACACATCAGTAGAATCTTGCACTTTAGGCAGCACAAAAAAGTAAGCAGCTCCCCTTTCTGCAGGCATCCGCTCTTTAGGCACATTTAACGAAAATTAAGTTTAAGGAATACAGGGATATACACAAACCTGCACAATTGTACGAACAGATGTGTGAATGACACAGTCTCAGCTCTGACCTGGTTTTGTGACACTGGGGATATGAAAAACCTGATTCATCCCAGCTCCTCCCCAAAACCCTTGTGCAGCCTTGCCTGCCAGTCTCTTACTTGCCATACTTGGTATCTCCCACGAGCAGCTCTGGAGCTCTGTACCATCGGGTGGCCACGTAGTCCGTGTAAGGTTCCTCAGAAGTTGTTAAGGTACGGGCAAATCCAAAGTCGCAGAGTTTTACAACTCCTGACTGGGAAACTAGGATGTTCTCTGGCTTAATATCCCGATGGATTATCTGCGCAGAGAAATCAAGACAAATCAGCTCCTCGTTTCTGCGGAAAAAATCGACCGGCTCACCAAAACTAGTAGCTCTCTCACATCCAGGTAGAAAATTACATTTTTGCAGGCATGGGAAACATAAGGAGTCTGTAAAAGACACCTAAGTGCACGCAGTCGATGCACAAGTGCAGGCCCAAGTTCCCAGGTGTATTTACTAAAGGTATTTTAATAGGCAAAAGGTAATTTAATAGGCAAAAGGTAATTTAATAGGCAAAAGGTAATTTAAAGGTAATTTAATATGCTTGAAAATCTGTCCTGGACCACAAGTTGAAAAGCAGCAAGGATTGTGAGGGCCGTGGGCATGCCCTGCAGTTAAATTTCAAGAGTGTTTTAGGAATTCATAAGAGACACAGTTTCCCAAACATAATCCATAAATAACCAAATGTGTGTTTATACATACAGTTACATTGGCAAACCTGTTACAAAGCAGCTGAGAACAAAAAAAACTTTAAAAAGCTGATCAGAGAAGGAAGCCTACATGTTACACAGACACTATCAGTATCAAACTTCTGAAAGAGAAACTATTTCCCTTTGGATCCATGGTCTTCTGGACCCTTCCTTTGAAATACTGTCACAAAAAGCAGAGACAAGATTTCTGGATTAACCAACATCAAGCTCTGACATTTTACACAGAATTCAGTCCAGCTCTTCCACCCCACCTCTCCCTTTTCAGCAAAAGCTTTATTTCTCTAAGTATCTTGTCATTCAAGATGAACTGCAGAGCTGATTCTTTGTGCCTACTTACATTATGACTGTGACAAAAGGCTACTCCACTGAGAATCTGAAATAAGTAGTTCCGAACCCTGCCGTAGTCTAGTCCGTTTGGAAACGCCTCGAGGTCATGGAGCAGCGTGTGATCCACAAACTCAAACACCAAAAACCACCGCTTCTTCCTTTTACACACTTCCAGCAGGTTCACGAGATTCTCATGCCTGAGTTGCTGTGATAAAACAGGAAATATTTTACAAGAGCTTGACAGGATACAATGAGTAAACTATGAGCAGATACTTCTAACTGCAAGCCAGCTGGTGCGCTGCCCTGGAATGCTGCTCTTGTCATGGCACTCACATTCATTTATTCTTAAAATTGGCTCACTGATATTTTAAAATAGGTTTTATTTTGGCATATATATTTTTTTTAACATTATTCATCTCATATAAGCAGACACCTGCTTTGGCCTCTCTCAACAACCCAAAGCTGATTCATCTCTTTCCTCCCACGTTTCCCGGAAGTTTTATTCTTTTTTTCTGTCATTCCTTTCTCCAGGTCCGCTTTTTAGAGATCTCTTACACCCTCGTTTAAAAGAAAAAACAAAAGCAGCTGTAATAACTCTCTGTTCTAGCTAGCTGCCAGTTCATCACCAACCTACTCAGTACCTGTATCTTAATTTTTTCTAATAAGTCTAACAGAAGCCTTTTCTTTTAAGCTTCTACCATACCCAGAGTATTTCTGTTGTCACTGCCAGCTTACGCACATTTCTATTAACATGTGCTAGAATACAAGCACAATGAATGAATAAAAGTTCAGCATTCTTACCTACAACAGTGTTAACAATTAAAGAGCTTCTACTAAACTGTATCTAGTGGATTCAGAGAGAAAATTTACCAGCCAAGGATTTGAAGGGATCTTTTTCCCCCCAATATTACGCAGCGTGGGAAGCTGGAGATAAGTTTCGAGAAAACAGCTGCAGTTTAAATGAAAGAAAAAGCAGCTGCATTTCCTATTTATTTTGTCATCCCGCTCTGACC